TTCTGGTGGGGTTTTTGGGGTCCAGGGGGAATGTTCAGAGGGGTCACAGGGGGCTATTGGGGGTCCAAGGGGTGCTAGGAGTCCCGAGGGGGATTTGGGGGGTTCAGTGGGGATTTTGGGGGTACCAGAGGGAATTTTTGAGGGGTTTTGGGGTTACCTGAGCGATGCTGGTGGCAAAGGTGGGGACCCCATGCCAGGTATAAACTTTCTCACTCCGCACAGGCAGCGTCAGCGTGTTCAGGGAGATGCTGGAGGGTTATTATGATCATAAGTACAGTTGTGGTTATCTCATTGTAATGGTCATCTCATGGTCATGGTCCTCTCATGGTCATAGTTGTGTCCAGTTCATTGGATGGTCGTGGTCAACTCATGTTTGTCCCACGGCCATCTCATGGTTTAGGTCATGTCATGGTCTTGATCATCTCATGGTCATGGTCATGTCATGGTCACAGTCGTGGTCATTTCATGATTGTCTTGTGTTCAACGCATGGTCACAATCATATCACAGTCATCTCACAGCTATGATTGTGTCATGGTCATCTTGTGGTCATCTCATGGTCATGGTCATTTCCTGATCGTCACCATCTCATGCTCATGGTCATCTCATTGTTACAGTCATCTCATGGTCACAATCACATCATGGTCCCCTCATGGTCACCCCATGGCCATCTCATGGGCATGATGATCTCATGGCCATGGTCGTGTTGTGGTCATCTTATGGTCATCCCTTATCACAATCATCACATGCCCAGGATCATCTCAGGGTCATCATTGTATCATTGTCACAGTCATGGCCATCTCTTGGTCATGGTCACCTCCTGATCACCATCATCTCATGTTCATGGTCATCTCATCATCACTGTCACCTCATGGTCATGATCATCTCACAGCCATGGTCATGTCAGGGCATCTCATGCTCTCATCTCAGGGTCATTACATAGCCATGGTGTGTTGTGGTCATCTCATGGTCATCCCTTGATCAAAGTCCTGTCATGGTCACAGTCATGGTCACCTCATGGTTATCTCAYGGTCCTGATCACTTCATGGCCATGGTGATGTCATCATCATCTCATGGTCATGGTCAATCCCGCTGTCATGGTCATCTCCTGGTCATGGCCATTTCCTGATCTCCATCATCTCACGCTCACGGTCATCTCATTTTCATGATCATCTCATGGCCACAATCATGTCTTGGTCATTTCCTGATCACCATCATCTTATGCACACAGTCATCTCATTGCAATGTCCATCTCATGGTCACCATCATGTCCTTGTCACCTCATGATCACCTCATGGTCACCTCAAGGCCACGGTTATGCCATGGCCAACCCATGGTCATCCCTTGGTCCCAATCATCTCATGGTCATGGTTGTGGTTGTGTCATGGTCACAGTCATGGTCATCCCATAGTCATGGTCATCTCTTGGTCCCAATCATCTCATGGTCATGGTTGTGGTTGTGTCATGGTCACAGTCATGGTCATCCCATGGTCATGGTCATCTCAGAGTTGTGTTTTGGTCATCTCATGGTCACTCTCATCTCGTGGCCATCTCACCCTCATGTCATGATTATGGCCATGGTCAGGAAACCTCTTTGAGATCCCAAACCCCGATTCTGGGACACTCAAGGACCATTGGGGACGGTGAGGCCTGGCCTGAGCCCTCCCCCCATCCCACTGCCCCTCCAAGAGCCCGATGTGGCCAAACCACTCCTGGGGACACCTCGGACACTGGACACAGAATGGGAAATGAATCACAGGGGGTGGAGCCGGGTGTGGGGCAAATCCCCATCCTGACCCTGGTGTCCCCAAACTGACCCTGGTGTCCCCAGAATTGCTCTTGCTGTCCTCATCCTGATCCTGGTGTCCTCATCCCAGTCCTGATGTCCCCAACCTCTTCCCCGTGTCCCCATGCTGCTCCTGGTGTCCTTATTCCCATTTCTGATGCCCCATCCTGCTCCTGTTGTCCCCATCCCTGTCCCCAGAGTCCCCATCCCTATCCCAGTGTCCCCATCGCAGTCTCCATTCCCATTCCTGGCTCCCAGAGAGGAACTGCCGGACACCAGAGGAGGGAACCAGGATTTATTGCCCCAAGCAGGATTGATTGCCCAAAGCAGGATATTTTCACACCAGAATTAAAGCATTGGGAATATTTGTGGTTCYTGGCTTTCAAATATGGGAAAACAGGGAATTGATCCATTGTGATGAGCTGCAGGAGGGGTGGGAGCAGGGGATGGACAAGGATAGGATTGGTGGGAGCAGCAGGATGAGCTCTGCCAGCAGCTCTGGGCTTTCCCAGGGAGAGGAAAGGGGTTGGATCCGGCTCTGTGGGTGGCTCAGGCGGTGTTTCCTGCTGGGATGAGAGCGGGTCATGAGACCCTGTCCCTGTCCCCATCCCGCAGGATGGACCTGGCTCTGGAGCCCATGGAGAGTGGGAGCTGCTTTGGAATCCCACCTGATCCCACCCCATCCATCCCATACCAATCCCCAATGGAATCCCACCTGATCCCACTCCATCCATCCCGCACCAATCCCCGATGGAATCCCACCTGATCCCACCCCATCCACCCTGTATTAATCCCACTCCATCCATCCCACCTGATCCCGCTCTGGACCCCTCCCCTGATCCGGAATCCCACCTGATCCCACCCCATCCATCCCAGTCAGGTCCCACTCCATCCATCCTACCTCGATTCCACTCCAGAATCCAGCCCTGATCCCGCTCTACATTTCCACCAGGTCCTGCCCTGGACCCCTCCCCTGATCCGGAATCCCTCCCTGATCCCACTCCATCCACCCTGCCCCGATCCCCCTCTGCAATCCCACCCTGATCCCGCTCCGTACCTGCAGTTGAGCCATTGTTTCCCACGTCTTTTCCTGCAGAAAGAGAAGATCCATGAGACTCCAGCACGGATCACACACCGGGATTAACCCCAGGATCCATCCTGGGATCCGCACCGAGGGGATCCAGAGCCRGATCCGCCACTGGTACTCACSGGCTGGAGGGCTGTATCCAGAGTGCTGCCTCCTCCCTATGGAAAAACTGTGGGATCAGCACCCGTGGCACAGGATTCCCGGAACAGTGCCGGGTGGATCCGTGCCCCTTCCTGACCCCCATCCCGTGTGTTACCAGATTGGAGCTTCCAGAGGCCAAATCCGATGGCAATGACAGCAATGACAGCAATGACAGCGATGATGGACAGAGTGACCACCAGGATGAGATTCACACTGGATTTTGGCTCTGGGAAATCTGGGACAGTGAGGAGAGGGATGAGAACCCCCATTTGGAAATTCCCCAATTCCCACATTGCACATTCCCAGCCTCATCCCAAGCAAAAATCCCAGGCTCCGGCATTCCGGGATGCTCCACCCGGCACCGGTACTGCTCCCGCTCCTCCGGCCGCGCCTCGATCCTGGCCCAGGTGTGGAAGGTGCCGTCGCTGTTGGGAACGATCCCGCCCCACTGCGTCTCCTGATCCCGGATTTCATCCCCCTTCATCCAGCTGACTGCGATGGTCCTGGGGTAGAATCCGTACGCGTGGCAGGACAAGGTCAGGATCCCGTATTCCTCTTTTCCAGACACATGGACATCAGGGGGCTCTGGGATGGGATAATGGTGAGACACATCCATGGAATTCCATGGGAATGGGATTGGGGTGAGATCTGCCCATGGAATACCATGGGAATGGGATTAGGGTGAGATCCGCCCATGAAATTCCATGGGAATGGGATTGGGGCGAGATCTGCCCATGGAATTCCATGGGAATGGGATTGGGGCGAGATCTGCCCATGGAATCCATGGGAATGGGATTGGGGTGAGATCTGCCCATCGAATTTCATGGGAATGGGATTGGGGTGAGATCTGCCCATGGAATTCCCACAGGAATTACTGTGTTCCCAAGTCCTCCATTCCCAAATCCCCAATTCCCACAGGGATTCTTTCCCCACCTTTGCGCTTCAGCTCCTCCTGCCCATATCCGACGAATTCCTGGAGATCTTTCCTGCAGGTGTGCTCCACGTAATCCATCCAATGCTCTATATAGTTCTT